ATGGCAGAGAACTAGCTAAGGCAAGTGCCTCTCTGATCACCAGAGAGCAAGGGAGAGGCTGGGCTTGCCGAGCCATTTATCTCTTTGCCCTCCAAGCAAACTGCGACCTGATTAATCCCACATGTTCCTATTGGCCAGGTTGGTACAATAAACCTAACCATCACCACCACCCCTTTCTCCTCTTCCCTCTCCCGGGTCCCCAACAAGACCTTGACTTTTCCGAGATGTCTCTAAACTCTGTCTGCCCAATTAGCAAGAAATGTGCACTATCTTGTAAGACCTTGAATTAGCACCTGAAGCTGTGCTGTTCCCCTCCAACGCCATTACCCTGCCCACCTGATAAGAATGTAAGGGCTAGACTATTCCTCCCTTGAGCCAGCACCCCGTTTTAAACTATAAACAGTTTTGAATTTTTTCATTCTGGATTAAGAGGTTTCCAGGTGCTGGCCTACTCTCGGTCCAGCTGTTCAATAAAGGCTTTAATGACTAATATAGTGGTGTGGTTGATCTTGCCCGTTCACAGCAACACGGCCTCTCCTCCTGTGGTGAAGGACTTGTTCTTCCCACTCCACCCCACCCCAGAGCAGCAGTTGCTTTTTTGCATCTATTTTAGGGTTGTTTGTTTTTCCAATACCAACCCGAGGAATTCCTCCATACATTGAGACAAGGGGCTCCGTTTTTAAAAAGCAAGAGCAGCCCCAAGAACAGCCAGGATGAGGAAGTGGCGAGTGGACACTCCTTCCGTTCCCACCGCCTGGAGGTTCTGGAGGTCCTTGCACTGTGATGGTCAGAAGCATCATGGGATTTATGGGAATCGTCCAATTAAACATGTCACTTAAAAAATAAATACCACCCCCCACAGGAAGGTATCTCTAGACGAGAATGGGGGTGTGGGAGAGAGAAAATAGCAGGGCAGTGCTGACCCACTCATCAGACCGTGACGTGAAGCGAGTCACTGACCTCCCCGTGTTGGCTGAGATGAGCTTTGGCGGGCTCGCTGTTTCTGGGCTCCGGCTGGGTGAGGATATGTTGGCTGCAGCTGCCCTAATAGCCGAGGTGAGAGACTGTGAGCTCTATGGGGTACTTGCAGTTCTCTCAAGGACTGGAGGCTGCCGCTGGCACCGAGTTGGCAGGGGTTGGGACCATGGCGTTTCTGTGGTCGTGGGACAGAGAAGCAGATTCATGAAAACATGTCCCATCTCCATATGACTTCTGAACATCATGGTGCGCATTCATGTAGATGTTCAAAATTGGATTTTGAACCTGATTCTCTTTTATGTATTTTGTAGTTTAAAAAAATTGTGATATATACATATATGACTGCTGTGTACATATATAATGAAGCACTGCCATGTCAGCATTTTTATATCTATATAAACTCTCTCCATAAAGATAATTATTACCCTTTCAGCATTTTTTCACAGTTCAATGACATTACTTACACTCATTATGTTGTGTAACCGTGCATTATCGATTTCTCAGTTATTTCCATGACCTTTAACAGGGACTCAGGCCATGGTGGTACAATGGCTAAAGCATTCTGCTGCCATCCCAAAGGTCAGCAGTTTGACCCATGGGTCCCTCTGGAGGAAGGAGAACAATGTGGCCGCCGGCTTCCGTAATGATCTACCATCTGGGCGGTTCATTCTATTCTGCCCTATGGGGTTGCTCACGTTGGAAGAGATTTGAGGGCAGTGGGTTTTAACAAGAACTTAGTGCTCCCTCTCCATCCCTGGGAACCATGAATTGAATGTGAATTTTCATACATTCGTCTATTCTGGATATTTCATATAAGTGGGGTCATGTATTTGTGCTTTTATGACCAACTTAGGATTTCATACGGCATGTTTTCAAGGTGCCTCCACGTTAGAGCATATAATGGGACATCGTTTTACTGTATGGATAGACCACATTTTACTCATCCACTCACCTGTTGGAATGAATAATGGTGCAACGAATATCAGTGTACAAATTATGTTTGTTTCCCTGCTCTGTTCTTCTGGGTATGTATGCCCAAGAGTGGAATTGCTGGGTGGTAGAGTGGTTACAAGATGTGCTGCATGGTTGGCGGTTCAAAACCACCAGCGGCTCCTCGGGGGAGGCTTGCTATATGAGTCACACTGACTCCCTGGTAGAGAGTGCGTATGGCAATTCCGAGTCTAGCTTGTGGAAGAACCATCAAACTGTTCTCTGCAGGGCCTGTTTCACTGTACATTCCCACCAGAAGTGGGTGAAGACTCCCATTCCTCTACATCCTCACCAACACCTCTTGGTACCCATGTTATTGTTGTGTTGTTGAAATCATACACAGCAAAAGATACCAACAGTCCTACCATTTAACGACACTGTTCTAGTCTCCGAGTTCTCTCTCCTCTTGGGTCCCTTCTCCCTCGTTGACATAAACTCACTACCCCGTAAGGTTCCTTTCTAATCTCTCAATTTGCTGTTAACTTGAACCTTTATAGATCGTTCTTCGGAGTCTAGTGCTAAATGCTGACAGCTTTTACTAGTAAAGCTAAACTATTGCTTGGTTTTAGTATGACTTCAGGAGACATTTTTGGTTTATAGTTTAAAAGATAATCTCAAGGCAACAGTTTTAGGCGTTCCTTTACTTCCCATAACTCCACAAAGTCTAGTCAATAGGAACTTGATTCTGTTCTGCATTTTCCCTTTTGGTGAGTCTCTCAGTGGGATCTTCTCTGTCAGTTTGTTGTATGGTGGGGGCTTGTGTGTGGCTGTGATCTGGAAGCTGTGTCACTGGTATTCAAATACCAGCAGGGTCACCCAGAGCGAAGAGGTTTCAGCAGAACTTCCAGACTAAGAACAGGCCCTATCCTGAAACCTCATGGACAGCGGTGGAACACTGCCAGATGTTGAAAGAACACTGATAGCGCCAGAGCCAGAGGAGCTCCTCAGGTCATAAGGCTCAAAATCTGCAATGGGCTGAAACCCAAGAACAACTGTGCAGGGGGAGGTGGGCGGAGGAATTGGGGAGCAATCGATGAATGCGGGAATGGGAAGCAAGCATTAGAACTAAACGTGATGATGGATATACAACTTTACAAAATGTGATATAACGATGGAAGTAACTATGTGAATATTATATCAAGAACACTACTTAAAAAAAAAGACGAAGAAACCAGACTGGACCGATGGCTATCACAGGTGGAGGAAGAGGGGCATGGGGCTCATTTGAATGGCGGTGGAACTATGTGGAGAGGGCTATCACTAATGGTGGCACAACAGGAAGAGTATAAGCAATGGCCCTGAATTATGCATGTAGAAGTTGTGGAAGAATTAAATGAGGAGCTGATAGCAAGGGCTCAAGTAGAAAGAAAATGCTTTGAAAATGATGATGGCAACATACGGACAGATGTGCTTGACACAATGGATGGATGTAGGGATTGTGATGAGATGTAAGAACTCCCAATACAACTATGTAATAATAAAAAAAAGAAAAGAATATTTTGTCGTGCATATTTTTACCAAAATTGAAAAAAAAAATTACACAAATAACAAGCACGAGAAAGAAAATGCTCTAAACTTGATTGTGGTAGCAATTGTACAATCCTGCTTGATGTGAGTGAGCTATGGAATGTCGTGAAACCTGTAAGAGCTCCCAATAAAATGATGTAAAAATTAAAAAACCCGATTGTGGTTAAGGCTTGTACAATTCTTCTTGACATGGAAGAACTATTGAACATGACATGTGGATGAAGTGCCAATAAAACTATTTAAGAAAAGAACAACTATGAGGTGACACAGGAATGGGCGGTGTTTTGTTCTGCTGAGTCCGACTGTCTTGACGGCACTGATGACATGGACTCTGATCAAACATCCAGCAATGGCAGCCGGGCACCAGCCAGTTCCTCGGGCCTCCCGTAGAGGGAGTTGTTGTCCACATTCCCGCCCCATTCCTGACTCTCCTGCTTCTCTGGCTCCAGAGGAGCAGACAAAAGGCTGGCCCTCGGCTGACACCTTAAGGAAAACCATGGACGCTGTGCAACTAATGAGGAGGTACAGCAGAAACCCTAGACATATTACGAGGCCAATGAACTTGGGTAGTCCCTAAAACCAGGACCACAGCCCACCAAGGAACCCTATCCTGTGAGGTGTTCGGTTGTATACAGGCCGCCTGAGAGCTACTCGTTTGCATGCCATTATCATACAACTTTTGCCAATTTGACCTTTTCCAGCTGTTTTCCATTTTTCTTGGCCATCACCAACCTAGAAGTGGCATCTCCCGGTGGTTCTCATCTGATGGGCTTGCTGGTACATGTGCAGTCCTCACCTACCCTGGTTTTCTAGGAAAGCAGCTACCTTGTACGTGAAGGGCACAGAGTGCTCCTCTGTCTACCCGTAACATTTTGAAAGCCCTATTAAACAAGGGCAGTGGGGCTTGTGGCATTCAGTGGATAATCACCACACACCTAGGCTGGTCTACACCTGTCAAGTTCATTCATGATCATTCAACCAGCACCTGATGCTTCATGGTGCCTTGTGGGACAATCGTGCCCAGGCAGTGATCCAGAGATTCCTTTGTACTGTCACACCTGGGTCTTAAGAGCTCTGCATTTCAGGTAGAGATGTAGGTCGGTTACCAACGATGGCTTTCATGGAAGGACAATTAGAAAGGCATCACAAAACAGGCCACTCAAATAGGCAATGTGGGGGTTGAGAGGGTGACGGGCCATGGAGCCAGATCAGTAAGGATACCGAATGAGATGTCAGCCCTCCTAGAAGTTCATGGAGCAGGAAGCAACTCTCTCTGGTCTGTTCCCACTCCACCCTAGGACTTGCCCCTTCTGTACTTACTAATCAGTCGGCTTCTCTCTCTCTCTTCCTTCTTCACTTACTAATCAGCAGCATTCTTCGTTCCTCTAAGCCAGCTTAAAAGAAGTCAATAACTAGCCAGGAGGACTGCACCATGGACTACAAAACCCGAAGAACGCGTTTGGGCAGAAGCAGGAGGTCCACAAACCTGGGTCCACCAGAGAGACTTGGATTCATCTCATGGAAATGAGCTTTAATGGCCCGAACATCCTCCCCAGTGGTAGAACAGACGAGAAAACGGAAACACGTTTCACATTGGTTACAGATATAATTTCACAATACTGAGTTAGGTATTTGAAAAGGTGAATTATACTATGTCCCTGTGGTTGGCAAACTTAGTGCCTGTACACAAACAACCAAACATGTCCATCAACTTGCAAAACAAGTCATCCCATCCCCTCCCATGATTCTGGCTATCATTTAGCGTTTTATACAAGGTCTTTGAAACGGTGAATTATACTATGTCCCTGTGGTCGGCAAACTTAGTGCCTTTACACAAACAACCAAACATGTCCCTCAACAAGTCATCCCACCCCCTCCTATGATTCTGGCTATCATTTAGCGTTTTATACAAGGTCTTTGAAACGGTGAATTATACTATGTCCCTGTGGTCGGCAAACTTAGTACCTTTACACAAACAACCAAACATGTCCATCAACTTGCAAAACAAGTCATCCCACCCCCTCCCATGATTCTGGCTATCATTTAGTGTTTCATACAAGGACCACCTGCTTTAAGGAGGACAACCAATGATCAATTGCTGTTCAGACCGTACATGTCTCAGAGTAAGGATGGGCTCCACAGGGGTTCCAGTGGCCACCAAGCTGCCTCTGGGAGGCCTTACACCTCCAGCCGCTTGGTTACAATTGGTGCCACTCAGGGATTCCTTTACACCCAGGACAGTGCATCCAAAATATGAAAAGGTCTTCACAGTGACTTGAAAGAGAAAGCAGAGCCACCTGTCAGCAGGGGAGAAGGAACACGGTGGGTTCTCACTCAAGGTGGGCAGCAGGGTATGGTGCGTTGAGATATGTTCACGGCCATTCTGCAGGGGCGTAGAGCCAGCTGTCCAGCCTGTTCGGGGAGAACATGTCCTAACACAGCGGGTAGAAGAGTGTGCAGGTGGATTGGGCTGAAGGTATTTCCTGATAACAGACAGCTAGACCACACAGGTTTCCTCCACACCTTTCCAGCTGGGCTAGGTGGGGTCTTGCTTGGCTCGCTTGGGATGCTGCCCCTGTCCGGGCAGTGGCGTCTTCCTGAGCGAGTGCAGGCTCTGGACCTGCTGCAGGCGCAGGCTGAGCTCCTGCGCACAGGCTTGTTGCACAGTTGTTGCCTTCTCCGAGCTCCAGCTCAACGCCGCAGCCAAGGGCTTGGGGTCTTCTCTGGTGACCAACTGCAGTAAGAACAGGAGTCATTGATACCCGCTTCTTCCGCTGTCCCCACGGGCTATGCCTGCACGCGGACAGGCTACCACCAACCCGGTGGGTTTTGATTTGAATTGTCCTACATCTTTTTCATCATCAGGGTCCTCAGAGAAACCACAC